AGAGAGAGAGAGAGAGAGAGAGAGAGAGAGAGAGAAAGAGAGATGGAGAAGAGCACTTCTACATCATTCTTACCTGTGACAGGATCAAATAAGTTAACAACTTACTAAAACTGAGCTACAAAAGCTCAAGAAACTTCTAGAAAATTTCTGATATTTGAAGATTGATTAAATGGAATATATTAATATACATAAAATATCTCTAGTATCTCTTGTTAATTTTGTGGAGTATGAATAACAGTTACTTTTTTAAAGCTAACACAAAAATCCAAAAGGTGTTGGGGTGATAGCTCAGTACATAAGAATACTTGGTGTGCAATCATGAGGACCTGCATTGAAATCCCAGAACCCATGTACAAAGCCAGGCATGGATGCATAGATGCCTGAACCCCAGCTCTATGGGGCCAGAGACAGAGGAGTGCTGGGGCCTGCTGGTCGTCACCCTGTCTCCAGGTTAAGTGATAAGTTCTGACTCAAAGGAATAAGGTAGAGAGTGATAAAGCTGAACAACTTAAGCGCCCCTGTATCCTCCATGCTTGCCTGGGTACACATACACAAATACATACATTCCTATTCACCCTTCCCTCACATGTATACCACACACTCAAACCTAACTGCTCACAAAAATAAAGGTCAGTATACAGTAAGATTAAAATTGTTTGCCAAAATCTGAAATATGGGGTGAAATCCAGCTGAAGTGATGAGTATAGTCTCTTAAGGGACAGAGGAGAAAGCAGTTTCTTAGTTCCAGGCACTGGACAGTGGGATAAGAGGAGACAAATAGAGTAAGGTGTGGTGAAGTGAGACATATAACTAGCACCCTGCTTTAAAGTATCAGAGGCCATGTGGGTACCAGAAGAGGAAAATGAAAACCATAGGAGACTATTTATAGTGCTTGATATTGCAGTGGAAGCCATTGGGAGTGTCACCAATGAAGGATGAAATAATATTTATAAGGGACAGTGACTCAAACACTGGATTGTTTTAATTCTAGCTTAAGCCTCGAGATTTTTAAACTAGAATAGAGGACTAGGGAGTGAATGTTAGGCCCACCATATGGTCTCTGATATAATTACCAATGCTGTCTTAGCGTGAAACTGAAATCAGAGCATATGTAAGTAAATGAATGTGGCTGTCCCAGGAGAACTTCACAAAAATGGCTGATGGACTGCATTTTGCACACCCTTCAACTCGAGGAACTGCTACTTTTCTGTTTCTGAGCACTTTGTTTCATTTTTCACTTGTTCTTTTTATGATATAAATTGGCATTGAGTGACAGTGATTAAAACTACATTGTAACTTTGCCTCCCTTCCTATGCAAACCTAGCCCTATACCAAATAACACTTAACAGTGTTTCATGCTTCTGTCAGCAGTGGATCACACATGTCATTGTGGTGCCATAGGATTACATATGCTTAGGTAGACAGGCAGGTACCTGCAATATTCAATTCCCTGCAATACACAGTGGAGGAATAAGCTGTTTTAGAAGCTTTGCCTTACAGCCTGTGTGTAGTAGGCTTTGCTGTGTCAGTGTGTGATTTGCTCTGTGGTGTTTTTTACAGTGACAGAATCAGCACTAATGAGTGGTTAGGGTGGCTTAAGTTGATTTATTTCCCCTACCTGTTCTAATAACAGTTTGCTTTCTCTTTTTCAGTCTCGAAGAAATCTCTGTGAAGAGGCTTTGTTAAAAATTAAAGGTGTTATTAGCTTTACTTTTCAAATGGCTGTTCAAAGATGTGTGGTGCGAATCCGTTCAGATTTGAAAGCAGAGGTTAGTACTTTGAACGACTGAATATGCCTGAAGTTATAAGTAAGCAAGAGATCATTCAGTATTGTTCCTTGTATTCTTTTTTCCCAGGCTCTGGCATCAGCAATAGCATCAACCAAGGTCATGAAAGCTCAGCAGGTGGTGAAGAGCGAAAGTGGGGAAGAGGTAAAACTTTATTTTATTCCTATCAAACTGGGGCTCTTGATTTTTTTTAATGGCTAGTGGATTATAACATTCTTAGAGGAATGGTTACGAAATAGAAAGATGTGGTTTATCTTGATTAATAGTTAATTACAGTCTTAATAGTATAGAGATATCTTTTGTGAAGTTTAGAGTGTTATAAAGAAAGCTGTGAACGTGGAGATGTGGTGCAGATTGTAAAGGTCAGCCTGCTTACATTGGTTTTTAGGACTTCTTTCTGACTTGAACTACTTTTGTGACTGCAAGACAATAAAAGTAGACTCTTTGAACAGTAAATATGGTGAGCTCTAGGCTTTGATGAGGAGGGATGGATCTGTAAGCTGTGAGCTCCTTTGGCTTCCACAGATGAGTGGTGTTGTGGCACTCCGGGGGTTCAGAGTGGCCCTGCATGTGTTTAACCCATTTCTAGAGACAGGTTCCTCCTCCTGTCCTGGAACCCTGCACCCTCCTTGGTGCTTACAGAGTGCTCATTTCCTAACTGTCACTCTAGAGTCCTGGGATGAAGATGATGCTTAGGCGGAGGATGTGACTTAGGGTGTGGATGGTGTCATGTTAGGTTGGGTTCCTAATGGCTCCTCACACTTCTCTGTGTGTGTCAGATGCTGGTCCCATTCCAAGATGCCCCTGTGGAAGTGGAAGAGAACACAGAGCTGCCTGACTACCTGCCTGAGGACGAGAGCCCCACAAAGGAACAGGACAAGGCAGTGTCCAGGGTCGGCTCACACCCTGAGGGTGGAGCCAGCTGGTTAAGCACAGCTGCAAACTTTTTATCCAGATCGTTTTACTGGTGACTTCAGCTTCAGTTTGGGGCTCAAGGACTGTGCAAACCAACAGGGGGCCAGCTTTCCATTGTGGTGAACTGTCAAGTGCAATTTGCAATAGGTTATCATGGAAAGTTTCTAGATTACATGACTGCATATGCTGCATTTTACATTTGACTGGACATTTCCCCCACCGAATGGTAAACAGGACAGAGCTGCAGGTGGAATTGGTTTATGAAGGTATTTTGGTATTGTTTTCCTTTGCTTAATTGCCTCACTGTTTTCTGAAAAACATGGGTCCATTGTTAAAACCAAATGTATGTGCAGCTTTACATTCTGTTTTACATGAAGCATGTGACTCGTTTTCTTCTCAAGCCTCAGGAGCTTTCTGAAGAGAAGTTTTGCATAGCTCAAGTTGTGCATGAATTTTTAGCAGCTTTTCTTCATGAACGATACATGACATGTGCTTTGGTACCTTCTCTGAAAGTTGAAAACATACCTAGTTAGCCCCCTTCTGTGCCTTTTTTATTTTGCCAACCATGTTTATAGAAAGGACATTATTAATGGCATTTTGCAAATGGAATTATATTCATTTGGATATAGCAGTACCTAAAAAATGCTCTACAAAAAACTGAACAATCTTACTTGCTATAATTTTAATAAACTTACTGTAAGCCAGTTAAGACAACAGGGATATGAACAGCAGCAAAGTGCTCTTGGGAGAGTTTGAATGTGACCAAGTGTGGCTTGGCTCATGAGAATTAAGCCCATTGTGATCTTTTGAGCAGACATACCCTGTGGTGACTGTGTCCTGCCAGAGGAGAGTAATAGGTTTGTTTTTTTTGTTTTTGTTTTATTTCAAGAGAGGGTTTCTCTGTGTAGCTCTGGCTATCATGGAACTCACTCTGTAGACCAGGCTGGCCATGAATTCAGAGATCCACATGCCTCTGCCTCCCAGGTGCTGGGATTAAAGGTGTGCACCACAACCTGACAAGAAAAGTAATAATGACTAGTTTAAAGAACTGACAAACTTGAAAACAAAGTTGGATTCCTGCAGTGCTGCTTGGTCAGTCTGGCTTCAGACATAAACTGTCTATCTAGTACATGCCCATTCCAGAGATGTTTCTTTTTATTGCCTTTTTGTTGTTTTTAAGAAAATACTGCAGTCAAATTGAATAAAACAAGACCCCAAAATTGTTGCTTATAGAGAAAGAAAGGCAGCACTGGGCACTTAGTCTTATTTTCATGTCTAGTCAGAAAAAAATAAATGACTTCAGTGAAGGTGAGATACATAAATACAGACACATGTTTCTGCTTTTTTGTGTTTTGTTTTTTTAAGGACTGAATTACCTGTATGTGATGCTTTCTTAAGATCCTAAAATATTTGACAACTAATATTTTCTTTTTAAAAATCCAGCTAAATCTATTTTCATGTCAACATCACTAAAAGGAAGAAACTGCAGTGCACCTGTGTCACCATGCAGAGCTGCTGTTTTGCTACGTGGAGAATGTAAAGTGAAATCAGACTCTCAAGGGTTTCCTTGCATTCTTGTTGTTTCTCTTCTAGAGAAAATTGAAATCATCCAGTGTTACCAGGGGAAAAATCATCATAAAATATTAAGCCATGAGAGCTTTTGAGTTCATTAACATTGTGGCTTTCTCTTTAGAAATCCAGCTTCAATAGCTATAGAAAGGAGGAGGTGGTGGTGGTGTTTTATTTTCAGCACATCTGATTCTGGCAGCAAGCAGTAGTATGTGTTAGCAGTGTGGTACACATTTGTGTCTAAGATCAGACAAGTAGCAAAACAGCAGCTCTACATGGTGATGAAGGTGCACTGTAGTTTCTTCCTGTTTTTAGTGATGCTGATGTGAAACTAGATGTAGCTCAGTTTCTAAAAAGAAAGCCACAATTTTAATGAACTCAGAAGCTCATTTCAGCTTACTGAATGAGGGTGTTGAAAGTATGTAGATCATTTTTCCACGTGTCTGATCTCTGACTCAAGTGGTAGGCACAAACAGAAAGCAGAAATTTTCAGGGCACATAGCTAAGACATAATACTACTTGCTGCCAGAATCAGATGTGTTGAAAATAAAACAACAAAACCACCTCCTTTCTATAGCCATTAAAGCAAAGTTTACTTTCTATTTTAACACATTTTAATTTTATTTTGCATTGTCACACATTTATTTAAAAACTATAGCCCTTTGGTAGTGATGGTCAAGACAGTTGATATTTCGAACTGATGTTTGTGTGTATCTAGATGTTCCTTTATTCCAGGACTCTCTGAGTCAAGGCGACTATAATGGCAGTTTTTGAAATATATTGTAAAATAATAAAATAACAATGAAAATTGAGTGGATATTGTATTTTTAAAATATCATTTATTTATTTGTTCATATGTCTGTCTTTGTGCACATGTCTGAGGAGGTCAGAAGGGTGTCTGTTCTTGGAGCTCGAGTTATAGGCAGTTGTGAGCTGCCTGATGGAGGTGCTAGGAGCTAAGGACAATATATGTTCTTAACCACTGAGCGATTTGTCTACCCTGGGATATTGTGATATATAGATTATTGATTTTTAATTTTTTTTCTTGTAGTACTGGGCATCCAACCAGAGACTCAGGATTCTGTGTAAGCCTGATTGCATTTTATTTATTTTGAGACAGGTTCTTGCTATCTAGTCCAAGCTGACCTGAACTTTGTATTTGGCCTATATTAACCTTGAACTCTAAATTCTCTTGCTTACATCCTGAATGCCAAGGTTATAGGAACGTACCATCATGCCTGGCTCTTTAGCACTTTGCACATAGACTGTGTAGCACATAGTCTCAGTTCTGCAGGTGCATCACCTGGACCTCTGAGCTGGGGAAACCAGACCTAGAATCAGTTCACTTGCTCTCTTGTCACACTTTGGATTTGTTTTTCCAGAGCTTCTGGTAGAGGCTTGTGTTCCTGCTTCAGAGCTACCCTAATTTAGATTTTAAAGAATGGTTACAGGAGAATAAAAATTGCTTCTTTGCCGGGCGTTGGTGGCACAAGCCTTTAATCCCCGCACTCGGGAGGCAGAGGCAGGCAGATCTCTGT